CTTTCCTCTGTAGTCTCTCTATGAGGGAAAGGCTGGGGCAGCGGTGAAGCAAGCCTCGGTGGGCAGTGGGGAGGAAGAAGGGAGAATGAAGGTTTAGCAGTTTTGTGACAAAGAGGAGTAGAATGGACCTTGACATGCTTGCCAACTGGCCTTGCATGTTAGAGTTATGGGATGCTAGAGACACAAGCACCCCTCTCATTCTCTGCACTGCCCCTCCCCCAGCCTGCCGCAACAGGTATCACTTGCTGAACAGGCCCTGCTGGGAGGGCCTGGGTGGGGGAGGGGCTATCAGGCCATCTGAGCCAGACTCTGGGCCATGGAACTGGAGACACTGTTGGCAGAGTGGCCGGGTGCTGTCCCCTGAAACATTTATGCTGGGGGGGAGCAAAGGTGGTGTCATGTTCCCTCCCTCAGTGCTGGGGAAGGGAAGATGAGCCAAGGGAGAGATGGGGGGTGGGGGAGGCGGGGGGTGGTGTCCCACAGCCAGCAGCTGGGAGATGCATCTATTTGATGAGGCCTTGGCTGGTTAGCTTGACCTTGCCAAGAAGCCTGGGATCAAGGAAGGGAGCAGGAGAAGGGAAACCTTCACAACATGAGAGCTCTGGATGCCAGGTGTAGGCTGTGTGATCCCAGCTCCTAGCAACGCGGCAGGGCCAATTGCTTGTCTCTGGGAATCTTGGTAACCTCATCTGTATGATGTAGCAGCAGAACCCTCTGCATGGCTCTTACAAGGACGGGATGATGCAATGCATGCAAAACATGGTTCTCGCTCACTGAGGGTCGGGTGGGGGCTCTGCCCTAATTGTGCTCTCTGGAACCCAGGCTGATCGAGCATCACCTGTCACTGGAGGAGAGGGGGCTCCGGAAGGTCTCCCCCAAGCTGTTAAATGCTCTGGCCTAGAAATGCACACATACCAGGCTGATCTCATACCAACAGGGGGAGCGCACAAGTTTTACCAAAGAGCTCTGGGAGGGTCCCCAACCCTAAATATCTTCCTCAAACACTTCTCAGTTTGTCGCTAAGTCTGAAATGTCACCGCCAAACACATCCAGCTCTTCGGAGATGTCACAACCTGGGAGTAGAGGGAATGAACCTTGAAGTCGAGAGAGTCAGGAGCCATGAGAAGGCACTTGGCTTCTCTGAGACCTCAGTTTTCCAACCTTACAAATGGGACATTACTACATGGCCTTCTTCACAGAACTATTTTCAGGTCAAGAGAAACATGCAAGATGAAGCATTTTGTGATCTAGAAAAGAAGTACATATATGACTTCCTCCTGCAGACAAACCAAAGGCAGGCGATGGACTTGTGGGGAGGTGGACCCTGATCACGCACGTCCCCGTGCACTCGTTTGAGCCGCTGGCCTTCCTCGCAGAGCCAGCCGAGCCACCTTAGGTGATGCTGGGGCCTGTGAGGCACTTTGTGAGGGGCGCCCGGGTAGGCGCAGCCTTGAGACCAGAGAGCCTCAGGCGTGTGGAGCGGGGCCCGGGGCGGAAAGGGCCCCCTGGCCGGCCTGGCGGCTGTGCTTGGGGTCACCCCAGTCACATCCCAGGATTGTGTCACCTGTCTGTGCAGCGTGGGGAGGCAGGGCAGAGGGGGGGCAGGCGGGGAGTGGGCTCTGGGGCTGTGGACACTGTCACAGATGGGAACAGTAGAACGCTCGGTGCCAAGTAGGTGCGGCCCTGTGCTGAGCACCTTCCAGTCCTGACTCGCTGGACTCTCCCTGCAAGGCGAACAGCTGGGTATTGTTATCACCCCCACTTTACAAACGAGGAAACTGAGGCAAAAAGCGTAAGTAGCTCGCTGGAGTCACACGGCTGGTTAGCCCAGAGCTGGGCTGGCAGTGAGCTGTTCCTGCTCAGACAGCCGCCCACCCGAAGGAGAGCTTTCAAAGCAGGCGTCCCGAGCCCACCCTGACCTGGAACCAGCGCGTTAAACGAATATGCCAGGGGATTCTCCAATTCAGGAAGTGTGGGCAGCTGCACGGTGCTGCCCTGGAGGGTGGGGAGACCTGATGCTTGAACAGAAGGTTCATGAGGAAGCAGGCAGAGCCGGGCTGGGCTTCTGTACGCAGTGAATCTAAATCCCTGGGCTGAAGGACACGCCACTACCCTTCCTGCTGTAAAAGGAAAACACTTCTCATAAGTCAGTGGTTCTCAACCTTCCTGATGCCGCGACCCTTTAATACAGTTCCTCATGTTGTGGTGACCCCCAACCATAAAATTATTCTTGTCGCTACTTCATAACTGTAATGTTGCTACTGTTATGAATTGTAATGTAAATATCAGATATGCAAGATGTATTTTCATTGTTACAAATTGAACATAATTAAAGCATAGTGCTTAATCACAAAAACAATATGAAATTAGATATGTGTTTTCCGATGGTCTTAGGTGACCCCTGTGAAAGGGTCGTTTGACCCCCAAAGGGGTCGCGACCCACGGGTTGAGAACCGCTGTCATAAGTGATGGCCTGACCTTTCTCACCACGGGTTCAGAGATGTTGAAATGTGAACAAAGGTACGTCTTAGGAGTGATGAGTTCTCTGGGCCCGGACCGGATTTTGGAGGCCGGGTGAGCCAGCTGAGCCTGGTGGGACCCCTTGTCCTGTGCAGAACCCGCCTGGGCTCAGAGCCGCTCCCTGCTGCTGCCGGTAGCTGCCCGGTGTCCTACAAAGATGGCAGGAGCTGCCCGTGTGCCTCTCATGGCTGTTAGCACAAGGAGAAGGGAGGTGGCAAGGTGACAACAGTGTGAGGCTGGTGCGGGCTGAGCACACCCAACCCACACCCGCCCTCTGCCCCTTCAGCCACAGGCCTCATGATTGGCTGCCTGGTCTACCCAGACGGCTGGGACTCCAGCGAGGTGCGGCGCATGTGCGGGGAGCAGACGGGCAAGTACACGCTGGGCCACTGCACCATCCGCTGGGCCTTCATGCTGGCCATCCTCAGCATCGGGGATGCCCTCATCCTGTCCTTCCTGGCCTTCGTGCTGGGCTACCGGCAGGACAAGCTGCTCCCCGACGACTACACGGCCGATGGACAAGGTAACGCTCCCCAGGGAGGCGGGGCTTCCTCCCAGCCAGTCACCTGGCTGGGCCCTGGCCCAGAGATGGGGACACAGCCCTTGTCTCAGGCAAATAAAATGCGGAGGGTTGCAGTCCGGGCAGTGCTGGGGGGCAGAGGCTGTCCATGTAAAAGGGTGCCCCCTGCCCCCTGGGAGTCCTGATCCAGCTGGGAGCCAGGCCTGCCTCCCCTAGAGACAGCCCTGGACTGCAGAGGGGGGAGCCTGAGCTCTCCGGGTTGCGTGGGGGTTCTCCATATGCCCATCCTGTTTGTGTCCTCTCATCCACATCCTACCCCGCAGTCACAGAAGGCATTGAAGGGACCCTGGAGGCCGGGCAGACGTCCGGGAAGCCTCCAGACTGCCTCCCAGTGGCCTCCCTTCCTCCCGGGCGCCTGTCTCTCATTAAGCCCTTCCGCTGCCTGGAGGGGCCAACTCTCCAGCACATGCACTTCGCCTCCTTGTCACAGGGCAAGGCTGTCTCACACCCCGCAGTCCTGAAGCGCCTACTCCCAGCAGGTGGCCACTATCCGGGGCCTGTCGTACCTCAGAGACCGCTGTAGTCTTGTTCCCCATAGCCGTCCTCATATCACCCATTGACCTGAACTAGAAGATGCAAACTCCCTTCCCCTGTGACCAAAGACCCTTCCCAGGTGAAGGACTGAAGCCCTCCAGGGAGACCACCTGGAAGTTCAGAGAGGAGGAAGCAAAGAGGGGCACAGAACTCGGGTCTTCTCTGGCTCAGCCCAGGGCCCACTTCTCTAGAGGGAAATGATTGGAAACATCTCAACCTTTGATAGACACACAAACCTCAATCATGTGGTTAAAGATGGAAACCAAGTTACTGGAAAGAGCTGGGCCAAGGGGGAGAGAATGGGTCCTGGGGATGCTGAGGGCCTGGGTCCCTTGCAGACCCTGTAAAGGGAAGGGAAATGGAAGCAGTATTTACTGAGCCTCCTCTGTGTGCAGGAGTGATGCAAGGTTCTTAGGGGCCATTTTATTTAATCTTCACAGCAACCTCATGAGGAAAGGTTGGGGGTGGGGATCCCAGCAATCTACACAGCTTTCTGCATCAAGGGTTCTTCCAGGGAGGCCTCAGCAGGAGCTGCTGGAGTCAGGCTGCCTAGCTCTCAGCTTCCAGGGCCATCTGTCTGGACACAGGCACAGAGCATTTTTATATCACTCATTTGTGTTCTTTCTTGAAAATGTTTTTTACTGGCCGAGACCGGTTTGGCTCAGTGGATAGAGCGTCGGCCTGCGGACTGAAAGGTCCCGGGTTCGATTCCGGTCGAGGGCATGTACCTGGGTTGCGGGCACATCCCCAGTGGGAGATGTGCAGGAGGCAGCTGATCGATGTTTCTCTCTCATCGATGTTTCTAACTCTCTATCTCTCTCCCTTCCTCTCTGTGAAAAATCAATAAAATATATTTTAAAAAAAGAAAAAAAAGAAAAGAAAATGTTTTTTACTGGTTTTGAGAGAGAAAGGAAGGGAGAGGGAGAGAAACACTGATCCGTTTCCATCCACACCCACCCTACTGGGGATGAATCCGAAACCTGGGCATGTGCCCTGACCAGGAATCAAACTGGTGACCCTTCAGTGCATGGGACGATGCTCACGCAATGGAGCCACATCGGCCAGGGCTCATTTGTATTCTTTTCTCAGAACAAATGCTTTGAACTAGAAAGAAATTTTACTCACAGAATTCCTCTTTAAAGTGCTTTCTTAACTACTCAAGGAAGTCGTTATTGCTGCTGACAAAGCACAGCATTGGGCCAGGAGAGCAGTCTGAATCCCCGTTCTTCTGAGCCACACTACTACAGTGTCCTTTCCAGGACAAAGGGGGTCATGAACCCCTGTTCTGCTACCTCCCCTATTGTGCGGCATAAATGAAACAATGAAAGCAGAAAGGAAGACTTGCACCATATCTAGTTGCTAATCTACCCTTTAGAGGTTATGGAAGCAAAGTAAGTGAGTATGGGCTTTAGAGTCAGTCCGGGGTTTAAAGCTTTGGCCCATCGTTAACCGGCTGTGTGACTTTGTAGAGGTTGCTTAATGTCTCTGAGTCTCAATTTCCTCAGCTGAGCCTCATTTCCATGGGGCTAAGTAACCTACTTCAAAAGATTGTGCTCAGGAGCAAGATAAAAATATCTGCTCTTGTGACTTCATTGAAGATTGTACTGGAGTTTACAACCAGTGCAATTAGTCAAGAAAAAGAAATAAGAGAACTTGAATTTGGAGAGGAAGAAGTAAAAATTACTTTTTAACAGATGACATGATTTTGTATATAGAAAATCCTAAATAATCCACTAAAAAACTATTAAAGCTAATATGCAACTTCAGCAAGGTTGCAGGATAAAAGAGCAATGTACAAAAATCTATTGGATTTGTATACACTCAAAATGAACAATATGAAAATGAAATTAAGAAAAATTTCACTTACAATAGCATAAAAATAATAAAATTGGAAAATTTAACAAAAGAAGTGCAAAGTATATACATGAAAAATTTTAAACATTGTTGAAAAAAAGGCCTAAATAAATGAAAACATCCATGTTCATGGATCAGAAGGCTTAATATTGTTAAGCTGGCAATATTACCCAAACTAATCTACAGATTAGATGTGATCGCTATACAAATCCCAGCTGGCTTTTTGCAGAAATTGACAAGCTGATCTTAAATTCATATGGAAATGCGAGACCAAGAATAGCCAAAACCACCTTCCAGAACGAAGTCAGAGGATGATCTATCTCGATCTCACCACTTACTAAAGAAGCTACAGTAATCAAGATGGTGTGGCACCTGCCTAAGAATAGACATACAGATCAATGGAATAATAAAACGGAGACCAGAAATAAGCCCAAACATCTAGTGCTGACTGATTTTCAACAAGGATGCCAACACCATTAAATGGGGGAAATAACAGTCTTTCAATAAATGGTGCTGGAACAACCAGATATCTACATGCAAAACAAAACAAAACAAAACAAAAATTAAGTTGGACCATCCACCTTACATCATATATAAAAATTAATTCAAAATAGATCTAAGATCTAATTGCAAGATATAAAACTCTTAGAAGAAAATATAGGTGTCAGTCTTCATGACCTCGGATTAGGCAATGGTTTTTTAGATATGACACCTAATACACAAGCCACCAAACCAACCCCCACCCCCAATAGACGAATTGGATTTTATCAAAATTGAAAACTTTTGTGCTTTAAAGGACACCATCAAGATAATAAAGACAACTCACATATTGGGAGAAAATATTTGCAAATCATAATTATAATTCCAGTATCCAGAATATGTTAAGAACTCTTACAACTCAACCATAAGAATACAAATAACCCAATTTTTATTTTTTTAAAATAGATTTTTATTGATTTCAGAGAAGAAGGAAGAGGGAGAGTTAGAAACATCAATGATGAGAAAGAATCATTGATTGCCTGCCTCCTGCATGCCACCTACTAGGGATCAAGGCCGCAACCTGACTGGAATCAAACCCAGGACCTTCAGCCCACAGGATGATGCTCTATCCACTGAGCCAAACCAGTTACGGTCAAATAACCCAATTTTTTAAAAAATATATATTTTATTGATTTTTTACAGAGAAGAAGGGAGAGGGATAGAGAGTCAGAAACATTGATGAGAGAGAAACATCAATTAGCGGCCTCCTGCACGCCCCCCAGTGAGGATGTGCCCACAACCAAGGTACATGCCCTTGACCGGAATCGAACCTGGGACCCTTGAGTCCGCAGGCTGACGCTCTATCCACTGAGCCAAACCGGTTCGGCCAAATAACCCAATTTTTTAAATGGCAAAGGATTTGAATAGACATTTCTCCAAAGAAGATATACAAATGGCCATAAGCACATGGAGATACTCAACATCATTAGTCAGTAGGAAAATGCAATTCAAAACCACAATGAGATATCATTTCACACCTACCAGATGGCTATAATCGAAAAGATGAACAAGTATTGGTGAGCATGTGAGACCTTGGAGCCCTCATACACTGCTGGTGAAAATGTAAAATTTGCAGTTGCTGTGGAAACAGAATGGGAGTTCCTCAAACAGTTAAACAGTTACCATGTGACACAACAATTCCACTCCTAGGTGTATATGCAAGAAAACTGAAAACATGTTCACATAAAAACTTGTGCATGAATGTCCATAATAGTAAAAAAGTGGAAACAATCCAAATGTGCATTAACTGATGAATGGTGAACAATATGTATATATCCATACAATGAAATATTATTCAGTCGCAAAAAGGAATGAAATACTGAAAATTGCTACCATGTGAATCTTGAAAAAGTAACATTAACCTCACTGGTGTGGTTCAGTGGTTGAGCGTCAACCTAGGAACCAAGAGGTCACGGTTCAATTCTTGGTCAGGGCCCATGCCAGGGTTGTGGGCTTGATCCCCAGTGTGGGTGTGCAGGAGGCAGCTGATCAATGATTCTCATCGCTGATGTTTCTATCTCTCCCTTCCTCTCTGAAATCTATCTATCTATCTATCTATCTATCTATCTATCTATCATCTAATTATATTAAGAGAAAGAAGCCAGACACAAAAGACCATATATTGCATGACCCCATTTATAAAAAAATTTTCAGAACAGGTAAACTCATAGAGGCAGAAAGTAGATTTTAGTAGTTGCCTAGGGTTAGGAAGAGGGAGAAGTTGGGGGTGATAGCTAATGGGCACTGAGTTTCTTGGATGAGAACATTCTAGAATTAGATAGCAGTGATGGTTGCACAACCTAGTGAATATCCTTAAAACCACCAAGTTGTACACTTTAAATGAGTAAAATTTATGTTTAAGGGATTGTGCTGAGGTTTAGATAGTGCATATAAAACACTAACACTGCCTGCATGTTATAGCTGATTAATCAACATTAGTTCTCTTTCCCCTTCTTTCTGGTAACCCCACGTTTCACATCATCCATTTGCCCAACCAATTAAGGACTCTGTGCTCAGTTGCGCAGACACCTGGGGGTGCAGTGGTGAGGGGAGAAGTCTAACTTGGACCTGAGGCCTGATGCTGGAGACCATCTAGCAATATGGAATTATAAACTGATAAATGTTATGAACAGAAAAGCAAAGCTTTCTTGAGAACAAATGAGGAATTTGATGGGGAATTATCCCGAAAACAAGGCTTGGTTGTAAGCAAGCGCTGTGTTCTCTTTCTCCTTGCAGAGGAAGTCTGAAGCAGCTGAAGGGCGGTGAGTACACCACAGGAAGGTGGTCTGCATGCCTCGGTTGGGCTGTGGCTTCTGCCTCTTCATTGAATCCTCAGCCGGAATGACTCATGGGGCTGGGCTGTGGGGGCTGCCAGGTGGCCTGGGGACCACCCAGGTAGGACTTGGCTGGTATCTGAGCCCTTCACTGAGGGTTAAACGGCAGCCTTTTAGTTTTGCTTTTGTCGTGAGAAGTGGAAAAAGAGCAGGAGAGAATTCAATAGACAGTTTCATAACATCTTTTCGTGGAGCGTGGTGGATAAGAATGCCTTTCAGAAGTCATGACTGTAATGTGGGCTCTGACGTTAAGAAATTGGAAGTGATTTTTAAGACATTTACTAGAAAAACCTAATAAAATAGAAAACGTAAGAGGAAAACAAATATCCCAGGAAGCTAGGCAAATAGAATTGCTGTACTGGTATTACATTTACTCCCATGCTTCCGGATAGCTGAGGCAGAAAGAAAACTAGTTTTAATGTATGCCTGGAAAACAGCACGGTACATCAATATCCTCATTGTCCTTTAGGTTTCCAAACTGTGATTGAGCGAGAACATTAAGGAACACGTTCTAAAGAACAATAAAGCCAAGCCCAGGGTCAGCTCCCTCACAGCCGCCCTTGACCTCCCTACAGCGGGGCAGGCATTTGTGTGGGTGGGAGGGAATATCTCCCTTCAAACTATGTTAATTTTTCCAAATCACCTTCCAATCTGTGACCACGTACATATACTTTTTTAAATAATTTAAAGTCAGCATTGCACCTCTTTAGATGTTTCTTAGACTTTAATCTGCACCCAATGGCCTGGGGATCTTGTTCAAGTGCAAGTTCTGACTCTGGGATCAGGCCGCGGACACTGCCTTCTAACAGCTCTCCAGTGATGGCTGTGGGAATCGGGATCACACTTCGAGGAGCAAACTGTTAGAGATAATTTTCCCTTTTCCCAATGTTCATTATTAAAGACTTTAAAAGTTGCCAATTGCTAAACTGGACTGTGGTTATCAGCCATTTGGGGTTGCCGTCACAGCTTTCCGATAGATTCTGGAGTGGGATGAGAGTCAAAGGCAGCTGCCTCTCTATGTCTGCTCCCCCTTTTTTGCACTACATTTACATTTTAACAGACATGAATTTTTTTCTTGAGGGGCACTGAATACTCTCATACACGAATGAGGAAGATGCATGCCTGGGTAGAAATGAATCAAAATGTGAGCATTCATGGAGCTTTTTCTTGGCTTTAAAAGTATCAAATTTCACAATCTCAAACTGTTGTTTTAAAGATCACAGGTCATCTATTTCCGTGACACTGGAAACTTCCGGAGTAGGATTCTTCAGAGATGAACTTGTTCCTGCCCACTTCCTGTCCGAAACCCTTTGCTGCAGGATTAGAACCTGGTGGGCTCCTGAGGTAGGCTGCCCACTGTCTACAGAACTTTCCAGAGAAGCAGAACTGCAGTGACCATACCAACGATATTCAGACTCAGTCCCTCCCTCCTGATCGGGGCCCCCAAGTTCTTTTTCGATCCCTTCATATGTGCAAATTATTTTCCCTCTTGAGACCTCTGTGAAAGGAGAGGGCGAATAAGTCCATGTCTAGGCGCCTCCAGGTCTGACTCCCACAGCCAATTACCTGAAGGCCTCCAGGGCAGGCACGTGGGTCACAGCCCGGCTCTCAAGGGCATCTGAAGACGAGGTGGCTAAGCGAGCTGGATCACCTCAGGTTGAAGTTTTGAGGGGGCCTTTGCGTCTTATTACATTTTGTTCCTTATTGATGCTCAAGAGGTGGGTGAGGAAGAGGCCTCTGGAACCCGAGGCCGTTAGGAATCCTAATAAAGACTGGGTGAACATAGGACCTAAAAACTTGAGACTGACTTTTTCCTGTGGGACCCCCCAAATCACACTTTTCACAGAGCCCACACTGACCCAATCAGAACTGGATCCCAGACTCATAAATCTACTGTGTTCAAGCAATTGGTTATAACCACTGATACATCTTGTAAAACACTGGGTTTGGCACACTAAATGGTGAAAGCTTTGCAGGCCCCAGAGGGGCACGCAGTCTGGATGGCACGTCACTGGAGCAGTGCCAACACGACAGGCTCTTCAGGCTGTTTCCTGCCTGGGGGATGATGCGGAGAAACAGGGTCTTGTTGATTATCCGAGGTGATCGATGCCCAGGAAGAGGTGTGTCCTGCGTGGGCGGGTTCCCCGACAGGCGCGGTAAATGCTGAACAGGCTGTGGGGGACCTCGTCCCAGCTGGTCCAGCAGCAGTCAGGTGTCATTCTCCTGGGCTGTAGCGCATGACATTTGCACCAATGCACTCCGACCACCTGCCCAGTCAGGGCAGTGACCTTTCTCGAGTGCGGACTGAGGAGGGGTGAGAGCCTCCCAGTACTGTCCCTATTGTTGCTGATGGAAAAATTTATTACTAAAATTTTTTTTATTGATTTCAGAGAGGAGGGGAGAGGGAAAGGAACACCAATGATGAGAATCACTGATCAGTTGTCTCCTGCCAAGTCCCACACTGGGGATTGAGCCTGGGCATGTGCCCTGACTGGAAATTGAAACTGTGGTTCATAGGTTGACGCTCAACTACTGAGCCACGCCAACTGGGCTGATGGGAACTTTTGGAATGGGATTTAAGGAAGATCACATTCATATTTTCTAGTGCTGAAAAAATTATTTCAGAGCCAGGCACCTACTTTATGCAAGCTTGATGAATGACAGAATTTCCGTAAGTTCTGTAGCTGAGTTTTCTATCTATATTTGTTCATTTATTCCTTTAAAAGTTTAAAAGTTTTTGATTTTAGAGAGGGAAACATCGATTGACTGCCTCCCACACTCCTACCGGGAATCGAACCCACGACCTTTGGTGCACAGGACAACGCTCCAACCAAGCCACACTGGCCAGCGCTGTTCATTTATTTTATACAAAACAAAACACAAACATTTCTAAAAGCCTCTCCACCTTCAAAATATTTCTCACTGAAATGGCAACTATTGACAGAAGCTTCTGGGGGCTGAAGGTGCACCTTCAACAGCTGACACCTGCACTGCCGGGCACAGCGAGCTTCAGTGCTGGGAAGAAACTGCAAATGAGTCACCACCCAGCATTCCCCTTCAGCTCTATCTTCAGGGAAACTCAGAACTCAGCCTCTCCAATGTTAGTAATAATTTTTGTTGATACTCAGTAACTGCTTATCAGCTCTCTCAAGTGGTTTTACCTTTAATACATTTTAAAAAGGCACCTCCAATCTCATCTTTGAAAGTATATAGAAAGTCAATAAAACTAGACTCCTCTAACCAAGTTACTTTATTCCTTGCTCACTCACTCCTGTCTTGCCTGGGGCTAGGGACAGTTGTGATACCCAAGCCTCACCAACAATGACTAACAGATATGGCCAAGAGAGGAAGCACTGGTCATTTATACCTGAAGTGTGGACTGGAAAGATACCCTAAATGTTCTCATTATTTTACATCCCTGTATATTACCTTTGCTGCATAAAAAAAACTACCCAGAACTCAGTGGCTTTAAAATGTTTCACCCTGGCTGGTGTGGCTCAGATGGCTGGGTATTGTCCTGTGCACCAAGAGGTTGCCAGTTTGATTCTTGGTCAGGGCGCATGCCCAGGTTGTAGGCTTGGTCCCAGGTGAGGTGTGTGCAGGAGGCAGCTGATAAGACGTTTCTCTAAAAAACCAACCAACCAACCATTTCAGTTCCTGTGGGTTGGGACTGGAAAGTCTCAGCCAAGTCTCCTTAGTGCGGCAATGAAGGTGCTGGAAGGGATTCCGAGCTCTGGTTGTCTGCAGGGCTGTTTCTCAGAGGCTGTTGCACTGATGGGTTCACAGCCGTATTCACATGGCACCTCAGAGCAAGGGTTCTGAGATGAGCAAGTTTCAGAGAGAAGTCACAGCCCTTTTGTAATCCAATCTCAGAAATGACATTGTCATGTTTGCCTTAATCTGTTAGTCACACAAAGTCCAGCCCACATTCAAGGCAAGGGGATTATAAGTGTGTGAATAACAGGAAGGAGGAGTCACTGGGGTCCTTTAAAATTGGTTTTCAGTTACCCAATTTATTTTTTGGTGTCATAATTAAGTACTTTAATTTCCTGCTGGGATAGGCGTTTACCAGAATGCTTTACTGGAACAAAGATTAGATTCTAGTAACCTCATATGCTGCTGACGGATACACGTTTGTTTTGTAATGAAGTTGCTCGAGATGCAAGGGTCCTGATCCTGAAAGCCCCCTCCCCCACTTTTGTTATCTAACCTCAAGAGGACTTAGAATAGAGTCCACTATTCCCAGGCATTCCTCTATATTTGGTACAACCATAGCTACCAATGCAGTATTTTAGGTGCACAACTTTTAAGAACATAGCTCCAACTGTCGGCAGCTGATGCACCTTCTGAAATACAGCCTCGTTCTGCCTATTGGAGGACAAGGACTGTTGTGTTAAAATGAACAAAAGCCAGGTCTGTATTGACAAGAGAGATTATGATAAAGTGAACTTGGGAGAATATAAAATCAAATTTATTACATATTAAAAACCCCCCTCCCTTTATAAGGAATGGTGCAATGGGTAACAAAACTAGGTGCTAATGTAAACTTGCTTAATTACTTAGTTAAAACAACATGATTTCAAATTTTCTGGCTTTCCAACTGGGATATGTGATTTCACAAGGACTTGGTGAGGATTAATATCTGTGCAAAGGCTGAAAGACAAATGCATATCACACACTTAGTTTTTAACCCAACTTTTAAAAACAAGACCTTAGTGACAGAACAAATTCTGCCTTTGGCAGTTTTCTTAACGCTTAGAGCACCAGCCCACCCACTGCAGGGTTGCAGGTTTGATCCCTAGTCCGGGAATGCGTGCAGGAGGCAACCAATCAATGTTTCTCTCCCCCTCCTTTCCTTCCCACTTTCTCTAAAAATCAATGGAAAAAATATCCTCAGGTGAGGATTAACACATCAATTCCTCACGGTCCATATATTCCTTTATATAAATGTTTATATTTTTATCTTCATATAGTTCTGAAGACAGAAAGAGCTGTTACCAATGCCTTGTTAACTCCAAAGGCAAGAAATTGGTGGGCAAAGTTCAGATTCTATTGCCAATAAATCACAATTTTCTGTGACACAGAAGACTAAGAGCAACTCACATTCCTTAGAAGGCCAAACTGGAAGACTCCACAGGCTTCAAAAATAAAAGAATAGGCAGTAAGGAAGTCGATTTATAACCTGGCCCTTTCTGCAGTAACTATAAAAGACTTCCCTCTAGACACTTGGGGCAGATGGAAAGTTAAAGTGGGGTTGTACTATACCCGTTTGCTGGTTCCTTTGAGAGAGTTGGCTATAAGCTCTCCTAGGGCAGTACTTATGTTCTCCACACTCCTGAGTTCTAGGTCTATATATTTAACACAAGGTTTAGAGTGAATGCCCAGAGTGGTCTGCTGAACATAATGGTTTGATGAATCCTGATTTAATATTTTTAGGTTGTTTTTAAAACAAGTCCCATTATCATTAACACTATAATATGAATACAGTATGTATGTCTTAAATATGGCACAAAACAAATTAACTAGAGCAGTTTATGTAATTCAGGGATAGGAAAGGACTTACTATGAATAACACTAAAAATATCCCAAATAAAAATGAAAAGCAAATTAAAACCTAGAAAAGAATGTGATGGAAAAAAGTAAAACAATGCATTTCTAAGTCCTTACTAAGTTACCAGAAAGGAAGCATGCCAAAAGAAAGCTGGGTAACATGGGCAAATAACCTAAAATTACAAATGGCCAATGAGACCCATGAAAGAAGTTTCTGACTTCAGACATGCCCTTTTTTGGGCAAACTGGCTACTAGGAACAAAACGAGTGCGATTCTAACAGGCTCATTCAAATACACTTGGTCAGAGCAGAACAGCCCAACTGTTCTCCATAGGAGTTAGGTGATATTTATTAAAACCTTAAAAATGTGCTTACTCTCTGGCCCAGCCATTCCATTTCTAAGAATTTATCACAGGAGTGAATCAGACAAGTACACAAAACCTGTGTATGCGTGTTCACTATGCCAGTGCTTTAGCCAGTCCACAAACCTTTAGCATTCCGCACACGGTGATTGCAACCTGAGGAAAAAACACACCACGAATATTCTGGGACAAATGCTGTCAGATGCAGGAATAACAATTTTCGTAGACTTTCCAAAATGTACTGGTAAAAATGGACTCAGGGTTTTATTTTTAACTGACAGCAAATAGAAATCCTTTTGTGAGACCGTGGCAATTTGACGTATTATGATTAAATTCAATAAGGTAAACAGGGTACCTGGAAGATCAAATTCTACAGCTGCCTCTTTCTACGGCTTCTAATTCATCTGGCTCCTTAAATGATGGGGGAAGCCCTTATGTCACGAGAAAGAGTTCCAAAATGAAGTTACAGGTTCTCCTACTAAAAGTTCTTTTCATGTCAACTGTTAAAATGGGGCTATTTGTGTTTTGGTTATTTCATCTTAATATCATAACCAGAATTCCTGTAATCCCACAGTTGTGATTTGACAGTGTAGAATTCAGTTCTAGTCTGCTATTGCTTTAGATGTATATATATCGCAGAAAATCCAAAGTGGATTAGAATTGCTGAAGGATTTTCCCTGCCGTGTTTGATACAATCTATTCTCTTTATTCTTGATAGATGCATAGGCAGCCTCACTTAAAATTCTTTCTATAGGGCCGGGCCAGTGTGGCTCAGTGGTTGACTGCCGACCTATGAACTAGGAGATCGAGACTTGATTCCCGGCCAGGGCACATGCATGCCCAGGTTGCAGGCTCGGTCCCTAGTAGGAGGCATGCAAAAGGTGGCCAAATAGTGATTCTCTCTCATCATTGATATTTCTATCTCTCCCTCTCCCTTCCTCTCCGAAATCAATAAAAATATATTTTAAAAAATTAAAAAAAGATGGTTTCTACAGGAACATGTATGATTTCAGGACTACCCAATCAAGGATCCAACGAACGGCTGGCCATAGTTATTCAGGGTAATGTGTTAACTGGATTGCATAATTGCACCACTTTTTCCTTTGCCACTGTTGGTGAATAAATGACAGAATCTATATTCCAATTCCCGTACAGAAAGCTGGCTACCCGTCTCCTTGGGAGCTTTGCTAGCAGAGCCTCACGCTGCACCTCCTTGGCTTCTGTGCATCAGTCCTGGAGCACTTCCGGAGAGTGCGGTCCCAAGGCCCTCTTGGTCCATGTTCAACAGCGGCTGTGGCCTCTATCATGCCCCTTTTACTTTTCAATATGAACTGAGAAATATGCAGTCTAGGGCAAGTCTGAGAGAGACCCACCCTAAAATAAAATTCATAAAGCCTTTTCTCATTTGAAAAAGAAAACACCTCAAATACATCCAATCATCTCAAAATTGCAGTTAAAAACTTACATTATACAAGGAAATAGCAGCAGAGAATGGTTAATCCTAAACCAACCACACACACACACACAAAAGACCCAAACCCTCAAAACAATGAAACAAGTGCCAACTCTCCCCCACTTCCCCTGCCCCGGTTCTTTTATCCCGGGATTTCATTTAAGAAATTCATTTAAGACCTGCAGCCTCTGAGAAAATGAGAAAGGCAAAGCACAGAGGGAAACTGCTCCAAAGCTGAATTTTGGACAAGGCAAAGAAAATGCTGTAAATAACATTTGGGGACCATTTGGAAAAGGATTAAGAACTCTAGGACATTTTCTTGTTAGATGGGAAATCTCTGAAGCCCAGATCTCCTTTCTCGAGTCAGCCTGAATTCTTTAGCCATGGGAAATAAACTCAAGTGAAGTGAGTCAAGTGCCAGCCAGGGATTCAAAAACCCCCAAGACCCTTTAAACAGCCTATCAAAATAACTGCTTTTAGGACAACAGAAGACATGTAGGAAAGGACAGTTTGCAGGACACCTGTGGTTCTGAAGAAATAACTAGTCAATGGTTCTGTTTTTGTTTCCATCAAAAATCAGACTGAAGTTGCAAGACTCTTAGAATTATTAAGAGAACATGACATTATTTTGAACAGTGATATAATGGTACCCAAATTTGGTGTTTATACAGCGCATTTAAAAATAGACAGTAGCTTAAAAGTCGCAGGAAAAAATGTGAACATAGAGAACAACAGAAACAATCCAGGAAGATGGTGCAGCCTGGATACAGCAAGTTTAATGTCTCTGCTGTACAGAGAGTCACCCTTCCCCCCTCTCATCCTTATGCTGGCAAGAGGATATGCATTAGAAAATCTGACTCTTAGAGTCTGTGAATAAAAGGATGAGCTCCTACATATTCATAGCTCTTTTTAAAAAGGCTGCTTATTATTTAAAGGATGTCCCAATGGAAAGACTAGGGCACAGGGCGAGAGGCTGTTCCACATTTTAGTCCGTTAGTCTTTGGCAAAGCCCAATCAAGGCCAAATTCACCTAGGATGCCCAATGGCTGTGGGGGAATCTCCACAGGGTCAAGTAAGCAGACCCAAATGAACATGTTGGAATAATATAAAAAGCCGCCCCAAACCTAGAAACCCTTGAAGAAAGAGCTCCACCTGAAAAGGGAGAGGGAAATGCTTGGAGGGAAGCGGAGGGGCGGCGTGTGGTCTCTGCTGCGGAGCTGGGCTGGGGCTTAGGAGTTGAGCCAAGGGTGCCGGAGACAGTCAGCGGCAGTGGCTCTCTTCTCGGGGATCAGCTCCAACATGGGCAGTAAGAAATCCGTGAAGCCAGCTGCCTCTTCCTGAGACCACTCATATTTCTCCACTAGAACCTCAAAAAGGCCCCAGGGTTTCAGCTTCGTGATGTGTTTCAGGTCACCTATGGTAAAAGCAGTACAAAAGAAACTGACCAACACTGACAAATGACAAGATTCCATTGTGGAAACCCAGTAGCAAATCCAGGTAATCTATAGAGAATCAAATTTTACCATCAGAATCTAACTCTCCATCTACAAAGCACCTCCCCTTCTCTCCTCTAGTCCCTGGAAAGAAGTATCTCCATTTTTTCATGAGGGCCTAAAAATGTAAGGGAACTTGTTTGTTCCACCATCCCAGAATTTTAGCCCTGGTCAAATTGGGTAGGGATATCAGGACCTATTTACTGAAATGAGGATTAAATGCCTGTATAATCCAGATGTACTCAATATGGTGTTCAAAGGCAGTTTACAGCCATACACCAAAAACACTTTGCATGTACTCTCTTTTCTTGGCTTGATAGTCAAGTAAATGTTACTTAAAAAATGGGCAGTCTTTAAAAATAAGGAGTTAAGAAAACAACAAAATAAATAAAAAATAAGGAGCTGAATGAACCCCTTACAGCTTTCAGAGATGCTGTGCCACCCTCGGTACTATTCTGGAACCTCAATTTAAGATAAGTCAATTTGCCAGGGCTTAAGGTAAATGCCGCTTTAACGTGTTTTCTCGTGCGACACTCATCGGAAGCCTCTCATGTGGGCAGCGAGCGCCGATTTAATCACTTGCTTGGCAGAGGCACGTATTACCCTGACTTTGCACACAAGGAGGAACTCTTAGGAAGCACTTCACCATTTTCCTGCCCCAAAGAGGAACATTAAGGAGCGTTTCTGAGTGTGCTTGCTGTCAGTGTTGGGAAAGTGACTGTTCTCAGCACTAGTGTAGAGGCTGTGAGGAAAAAGGAACCATGGCAAAAAGGGAGAAAAAGGCAAGATGGTTTTCTAGTCCTTTCTAAGTCAGGTTTTTACATTTTAGCTTTTAAACTTTATTTGAAATGCAGAAGAAATACATATTTAAATATGCCAATATACATTGTCAAGTCAAAAATTTAAAGTGAGAGTTTTATCTGTTCCTTCACTAAGAAGTGAAAACGAACTTATGAAACTACAAAGTATAAAGTTAATTCACGTGACTGATGGGTTGAAGTGACTGTGATAGCTGTCAAAGGGCTACAAGGTGGGGGAGATGTAGTCCTGCCCTTAAGCTTAAGCTAAAATACTTGTTTGCCTTTTGATAGAGGCAGTTGTTAGGCCAAAGGCTAGCAAAAATTTGCTCATTTCTAGAAGTGCTGTATAGGAGTAACCAACCATGTGCCAGGTATTATACACAGAATAACTTAAACTAATGTAAACACTTAGATATCAGAAAACTGAGGCTGTGTCAATGGCCACATAACTAGTGGAACAGCTGGGATTTGAACCCACATGGTCTGGCTCCAGTTTCTGCTTGTGAGTGACTAATTTCATTTCTGCCAAGTAACAGCTCACATTCAAAGTAGGACCATCCTTTTGTAGGTGCTGGGAACATGCACCCAGCTGTACTTACCTCTTAATTTTAAAGCACTTTTGCCCCCTGAATGTCTGGGAATAAACATACTTATTTTACCTTTTTTGGTGAAAAACTCCTTGGAATATTTTCCTGCCACAATGAGCTTGCGAGGCACCTTCCCCAGAAGTTCTATGATCAATGCAATGTGATCTGTATGTTTCAAACATTTCAAGAAGGGGAAAAAAAAGACATACATAACAGGAGTAACAAATACAGTTCTAGACATTGGCAGAAAGAGTAGCATGCACACCTCTTCGTAAAGCATCTCAGGCTTGCTTCCTGTCCTAAATGGGAAGAGGAGGACTCCATCCATCTAATGGAGAATCCAGAAAACCATAAAAATCAGGTGCCCACTCCAGGGGGACTTGAGCGGTAAGTTAAAATAATCTTGGTGTGAATGCTCTGCTTCCTGAAGGTGTATCCTGGGGCCTAGATGGAAACTCATGTTAACAATACTACCTCTGCGATTGAAGAAGTCCTGTGAATATTTCCCACTGAGGGCAAAGCGTCTTGGAATTCTGCCTATCAGCTCTATAATGTGCGCAATGTGGTCTAAAATAGAAGGGTAAGAAGAACAGGATCAAGGACAGGCTGTAAAAGAGGTTTTTCCAAGAATAGCTTTTCAAGGACTAGCTGTTTAAAAGTCACTACAAATAAAACCAAGGCTACTCAAGAGGAGACTGGGAAAGTCAAGAATTATTTCAGGTGGTTGGTTACCTGATAGTAGTTGGCATGCCCTTTCTGGAGTTTAGCGGCTTATCTACACCTTTATTTCTATTTTGTCTATATATTTAAGTTCAGACAGGGTTTTTAGGAAAGGTAAAACAATGTACCAATATGCTTTTAGACATCATAGAAATTTATAAGAATGTTCGTGATGATTAAAGCACTAATATGATTAAGTTTTCACAATACCCTGCACAACAGGCCAAAGACTTACATACCATTTTAAAGACACAAAATGAAACCTCACAGAGAATAAATGGACCACTTGAAGCTGTAGAGCTAATAAGAGCTAGTATGTGAATGAAAACCCACATTGTAGTCTAGTACAGCGGTGTGTGTGTGTGTGTGTGTGTGTGTGTGTGTTAAGTGGAACTGAGCACCAACACTTTAAAGCACAGCTCCCTATTTGTAGGCCATCAAATGTCCAAGTCATGTGGTGCCCGGTGAGTGTCACAGCATGAATGTGGACTATGGACACTGACAGGGACGTGTGCAGTCTGTCATCAGGAAGTGAGCTTGGCACCAGCCCCCATCCACACTTACAGGCAGGGGACAGAAACTATCAAGAGGCTTTAAAGTGAAGGCTCCTGGATACAACAGCTTTATAAATGAACGTAATCCTGTAGTTACAGAATCATTGATGTCAAAAAGAATCACTTAAAAAACTTCCAATAATGTATCTTCTCGGGGAACAACATGCTAGATAGTCACATAGCTGGGAACCTGTGAAGGTTTCAGGTCATCTCTGTTTCTCATGTAAAGGACTCACTGGTGCCTTTTTAAAGGGGCTTTACACTCATGAATTCACTATAACCTTTGGGCAATTTTAACTGAATTTACGGCTTGGTAACAAGTACTTGGCTGCCAAGAAATTTCAACCAATCTTAGGCAGGACCTGCGAATAAATGTCTTTGTATAAATTAATTGTGAGGCTAGTTTGTGAGACTATATATAGTTTATCTTATTATAAACTTATTGTAGTAGTTTGAGGTTTCATCTAAGGACTGTTAATACTAACTGGCTTAGGAAGGAAAACTCAGGATCTAAATATCTAGGGTAGACTGTTCTCCCTTGACCCTTACTTGAGACTTTTCTTATACATTTCAATTTTCAGGTTTGGTAGCATAAGGTCCTACTCTATATAATTCTAGCCACAATATTTGCACTGTACCACACACTATTTATAGGGAGTCTACAGAAGAGAAAAAATTAATTCCCCTTCCAAATAGATAATAGTAGGGCATTTGAAAAACAATGTAAATCTATAGCATATAGATTTATATGCATAACTCAGAAAAAAAGCAAGCAGAGAACAGGAAAAAATCAAGTGTATATAATGGTGGTAATTACAGCATTTTCTCACAGAGCTTATGTACAGAAAACATATCCAAACTGTACCCACTAAAATAAGCATTTGGCTATAACATTTTCCAAACAGCACTTGTTAGGATTATCAGCAAGCCTTACTAACATTGCCCATAATACCTCAGAGAGCCAGTTTGAGAAAGAGAGCATTCTTGTTTCTACAGAGAGAGCGTGAAACCCGACTTCCTAAAGACTCGAGGGAAGCACAGAAAGTAAAGAACTTATTTTCCACACTGAGAGGGCATATCGCTACTGCTCTCTCAAAGCAATCCCATTAATCCTTAAAACCAAAGCTGTACAAACTGTATAATAAAGAAGATAAAATATTTAAGACTTTTTCATTCACATTATCATCTCTTCTAGTTATTGAGATGCCAACATAATAGGAAAAAAAAATCATACACTCAGTTGTATGCTTTTACAGCCTCCCAGATGAAGCAACTGACAGTTTGGGTTCTTCCCGCTGGCTATCACAAAATGTAAATCAGTTTTGTTTTTCTTTTGGAAAATGGAATTATAAATATTAGTATCATTAGTAAACAATGGCTTTTAATTTTCATAAAGGGGAAGAATGCTAAGTGGTACAGAATTTATATAGACAAATAAAATAAAGTCTCTGGCCCTGGTCGGGTGGCTCAGTTGGTTGGACTGTTGTCCAATGCACCAGAAGGTTGCAGGTTCAATTCCCGGTCAGGACACACACCTAGGTCGTGGCGGGTGCATATGGGCGGCAACCGATCAGTGTTTTTCTTTCACATAGATGCTTCCCTCTTTCTTACTCTCCCCTTTCTTCTCTGCATTCATTCACAGCATGTTTGTATATTAAAATTATTAACTTCCAGATAAAGTTGAAGGTACAACTGAGCAACAAGTTGATCAATAGGTAGATTCAAACTGAGTAAAGAATGAATCACCACTGGTTTATATAGAAAGAAAGATAACTAGATGTTTTAGAAGAACACAAATTTTAGTTTAACCAATTGTGGCCTCCTTTAATCCTCATCTAGAGTTATTTAATATTTATTATAAAATATCTAGTATATCTAATACCTAACATAAAACATATTTCTATATTTTCTGAAATTTATATATTTTTAGCACACTAAAAAGACTAAGGCTCTTCAGTACTAATAAATGATGTGAGCCACATGTGGAAAGAGTAACTACCACCCACAAACAATCACAGTTAAGGGGACTCACCTTCATCTCGAGTATACTCTTCCCCTGAATGAGGTTCAAACAAATAGTCACCAGTGGCCAGTTCAAAGGCCTAAGAAAAAGAGGACAGCATATGAAAACACTAAGAAAAAAAAGACCTTTGGGAAGCTTATTTTTATTTGGCTCAATATTAAGTAACCTGCAGATAATCATTTAAAAAATATCTAAGAGATTATTCCTCAAGAGCTTTCCTCCTACACCCATATCTTAATAAAACGGAGCAGGAAAATAGTGAAAACTCAGTTAATATCAACATGTAGATTACTCCACGCCCTCCCCACCTCCCACCAAATCAGTAATTAAGCTCTCAAATTTCTCTTTTTGCTCAGAGGGGGCACACCTGGACAGTAAGGTGATTTTTTATTAAATTTTATTAAATTTTCATGAGACGAGCAAGTCTTACATTATAATTTTACATGGCTAGAAATTGAGATTCTGTATCCAAAACTGAAACCAAAAAATCCAGACATTTTTCTACCTATAACTCTTTAGTGTTTGGCAAAGAGTACATTTTAAAGTTCTGCGTTGGAAAGCACTCCCTAACCTATCCCAGTGTTCCCAATTCTCAGTCCTATGGAAAATCAGAAAAAGATTATGTGTAAACGGAATCAGGAGCAACTCAGAATCTGTGTCACTGACCAGGAAAAGAAAGGCAGTCTCCTACCACAGATAGCCTCTTATAGATGGTTTTAAAGAGTATCTGAAAGAAAGTGATTTCTTATGGAATAAATGCCAAGCAGTATGAAAAGACAGCATCTGAGTGATGGGGCTATGTTAAATTTTCATTGATTAAAATGGATTAAAAAACAATAGAACAGTTTTAAAAGAACATTACTGATATAACAGAGAAATCAGCCCAGCTGGCCTGCTCAGTGGTTGAGCGTTGACCTATGAAGCAGGAGGTCATGCGATTCCGGTCAGGGCACATTCCCAGGTTGTGGGCTTGATCCCCAGTGTGGAGTGTGCAGGAGGCAGCCAATGAATGATACTCTTATCATTGATGTTTTTTTCTCTCTCTCTCTCCCTTCCTTTCTGAAATCACTAAAAATATATATTAAAAATAATAATAAAAGTGAAGTAAAAAATGTTAAGTGCTAATCGTGGGACAACTTTGATTGAGTCAATGGCACTAAGTAGTTCAGACAATCTCAAAGACTGCGGGGTGGATTTAGTTGGGGCACATTCTCAATTGAGACTCATGTTTAGGTCTCGGTGGTTTGCTCGTGTCAGATTTTGCAGTTTCAGGATAAGACAGACTTTGTTAAAAAAAGTATCTGTGGGCTGTATTACCACCCAGAGAAAGGCCACAAAACCAGAAGGTTTAGGACAGTGATGGTGAACCTTTTGAGCTCAGCGTGTCAGCATTTGAAAAACCCTAACTTAACTCTGGTGCCGTGTCACATATAGAAATTTTTTGATATTTGCAACCATAGTAAGACGAAGATGTATATTTTTGATATTTACTTTATATATTTAAATGCCATTTAACAAAGAAAAATCAACCAAAAGAATGAGTTTGTGTGTCACCTCTGACACGTGTGTCATAGGTTCGCCATCACTGGTTTAGGATTACCTCTAAAATGTCAGGGATGCTATGGCTTCTTGCCAGGTACAGCTTGTTTTACATTCTAGCAGCTCACTATGAAACTGAACCACACTGATAGAGCAGCTACTGGTGCTACCCTCTAATTGCCCCGAGGTTTATAGTCCCAATGCAGAACAGAAACCAACTGTGATTCTTATTCACCAAAATTTGTCTATCTTCTGAAACCAGTACTTTAATTTTTCAAAGTCTCATAGTGGGAGGACAGTAAAGATACTGAAATTAAAGCTTACAAAAATATATTAAAAATTCTAAAACTTAAATTTTCTATTTTTTTTTTCATCTAGGTATTTACATCTAGTTAAAGTTCTCTAAGAGTTTTATTTTCTAAACATAAGGTAGTTGTTAGTAGTTATAATTTTATTAAAACAGCAAAAAACCTAACCAAACGATTACATTAGAACTGAAAGCTAGCAGGAGCTCTAGATAATAAAACACCTAGTTAAACACATTTCCTTTGCAGATGAAAAAACTGTGCCCCAACGGAAAGGCAAAGCTCATCCCCCAATCCGGGGCTCCCAATTCCCACTCATGCCTGTCCCACACTAATCAGAACCTGTTCAGCATCACTCAGGGTCACAGACACAGGCAAAATCAGTTATAAAAGGAATATTACATAGTGAAAGAAACCAACCTAAAAGGCTACATACTGTAGGATTTCAAGCCGACACTCTGGAAAAGGCAAAACTATAGAGACAATAGAAAGATCAGTGGCCAAGGGTTGAGGGAATGGAGGGAGGTAGGGGAAGAAGGATGAATAGGCAGAGCACAGAGAATTTTTAGGGCAGTGAAACTATTCTATCTGATGCTGTAATGGTTGATACATGTCATTATAAGGTTGTTAAGATCCACAGACTGGAGAATTAAAAACATCTATTCTTTATTGATTCTTAATGTTAGTCACAGCACATTAACATAACATTTATGTTACTGCCCATCTAAACTTGGTCATCTCAATCACTAGTGGTATAGGCATTCTCATAACTTGTCTCTTTATCTCTCAGAAAGGGCCCTGATCTTTCTATCACTTAATTACACTGGATGCAAGATCCATCTCTTGGGGCATCTCTGATAATCTAGGATTTATTTTTATTCTCTGATTATGGCCAAGCTTTAGGCAACACTTCTAAACCTATCAGCAAAATGAGAGAAGCTTGGGGCATAAGTTTTCATAATACTATCTGTCAAATAAGTGCTTCCCACCCTAATCAAGAAAATTCCTGCACATGAGCTGGTCCAAATAGGAGGCAAGGTTAATTCCCTCACTTCTTAAGCCTGACATAGTAAATACTATGTTAAATGGCAAGCAGGATCCACTACCCTCAAATAATCAGCCCACTACTAAGAACCACTTCATAAATAATATAATATTATTTATTATCATAATAAACAGATACCATCTAGCTATATTTTGTAGTTGGTGATGTTGCTCACTTATGTTTTCTAACAATAAATTTAAAGCTTCAAGGCAGGGGTGGGGAACCTTTTTTATGCCAAGGGTCATCTGGATATTTATGACATCATTTGTGGGCCATACTAAATTACCAGCTTAAAAATTAGCCTGCTGCTCATTGAGCATTGACCCATGAACCAAGAGGTCACCAGTTCGATTCCCAGTCAGGGCACATGCATGGGTTGTGGGCTCAATCCCCAGTGGGGGCGTGCAGGAGGCAGCTGCTCAATGATGTCTCTCTCTCATCGATGTTCCTCTCTCTCTATCCTTCTCCTTTCTTTTCTCTCTAAAAATCAATAAATACATGTTTAAAAAAAGTTAGCCTGTTATATTTGGTCAAACATTTAATTAACTCTCCCCCAATGCCCTGCTTGGCAGGACCAGGCCAAATGATTTCACAGGCTTTATACGGCCTGCAGGCCAGACATTCCCCACCCCTGCTTTAAGGTATGGCAAGAAAGAAGTCAGATTTTATGTGTAAAATCTTGTGTGTAAAATACCAAACCTTACTTTATTTCAGAGTCCTCCACTTCAAAAGTCAATGATATGTCCTAACAAATGATTTATATGCCATATTAACAACATGGTTTTTAACTGTTACCTTTGAAAGACAGCTTTTCAGGAATGTAGATGTCAAAAATCTATGACTAAAACAGGTGGAGATTTATGCCTTGTCCTTTCTCTTTCAAGTTTTCCAGAGTTGATTGTGAATACTAAATGTTAATTAAAATGAACTTAATGTATTTCTTGCTTAGTTAAACACATCTGATGGTCCACAAATATTTCTTAAGTACTGTTGCATAATAAATAATTTGTTTGGTCTTTGTTCCTGTTTCCTGGGAGATAGCATCTAAATTTCCAATGATCAGGGTGTTTTTTTGTTATTCACAATGGAACACTGGGCCATACTTAAATTTATACTAATGAGGTGACTCATGATGAGCCTGAGTTCTGTGAGTCATTCTAGTGAACTATCGAATCTGAAATGATAGTGGAATCTCCCAATGTGTGGCCAGTTGGCCAGAAGTACAGGTGGCCTGTGGGCCTCAGAGGCAGCCTTGAGGCGAACTATGCCCTTAACTTGTGAAATCTGTGACAATTCTAGGTATTTAGCATCAGAACTCCATTGTACACACACGCGCAAAATGTGCCAGGGTCTTAACCAGACACTTGCTATACATAACACACATGACTCCTGCTGGCTCTTATAACCTAGTGGAAGAGAAACAAGCAAATAAACACACAATTACAACTAAAGAGTATACTCTATTTCAGGAAACAATATAACACATTCCAACATGAGGTTGTTTGTGGGAAATCATTTAGTAGCAACTAAATCTAACCATTTGAATAGTTGCTTGCCTGGGACAAAGCAGCAACTTATGAATGATTGAGCTTCACATTTTATGAAGTGCAAAGATGTCTGAGTAACTTGAACTTTACAGACTGAAACAGTTTCCAGGGGTTTCCTTATTCTGAAAATCAGATCAGAGCCAAAGGGGGAGGGTACTTGTAACACCCTAAACAAAAGCGACACTCCCTCCACAACCCACCTGGACCCACCCCCAACTTTAGTAAGAAACATTTGGTTCCTTCACCCAACAGGAATTGGGTAGGGCAAATGGAGAGCTAGATGTTTACACCCAGCTCTTGAATTCGGATCTCTCCAGACACAGGATTTAGAGTACTAGTGATAAGTCACACAAAAAATACTTTTTCACTTTCTTCATTTGCTGGTCTACTGAAATGAGCAAACAGGGCAAGGCATGTTATTACCAAATAACAAGTGAAGGAAAAAGGGAAAAAACATTACCATGCATGCCGTGCTCCAAATGTCGGCGGGGGTACTATAGCCAGATCCTATCAGAACTTCCAAGGAGCGATACTGCCTTGTTTGAATATCTTCAGTGAAATGTTTATGCTGAGTAAATACAGAAGGAAACAGTATTTTAAAATTAATTTATTCTAAAAAGTAACAAGTCATGATTGCTTAATAACGGAGATTAAAATAAATTCTCTAAATTTTTCCTAAACTAGTGTTTATTTAGCTAATCTGTTAAGTATCATTTTGATGCTATTACCTCCAAACAGCACTTTGCTTTATAGTCTATGCTGAATTATTTTGCAAACATATGAATTTAAACTTTATATACACAGGTTAGAGAAAAACAATTTGTTTTTAAGATGTAGGTTTCAAGTTTCAAGAACCTTAAAAAACAGCACCTATGAAGAATTCCTGAGAGTGACATCAGCATCACGGCAGAGTGAGACATAACCTTGGTCTGCCCCCTTCAATCTATAATGACTGGAATACTGATCAGCACACTGATAGGGTGCGTGAGAGATCCACACATCTGTACATCTGAGGTAGGTGAATTGGAATGCAAGGAAAGGTAGAATTAGAGAACCAGCAGTGAGGATGCCTGATACCCTGTCCCGCGGTGGCAGCTGAGTCCACACTCCACTGAGCATGGGAGCATCAGTGGAGAAGGGGCTCATGACTACACCCACAAACCCCAGAAAAGGAAAAGGGCAGCAGCAACTCTGGCTCCCTCCCCTGGTTGCAGCAGTGCCTGTGACCCTGGCTCCCCTGCCATGGTGGTGGCACCCGAGACTCCGACAACTCTGGACACAGTGGGGCACACATCATCCTGGTGACTCCAGCAAAAACTGTGGCTGCAGCAACACTGGAAGGCACCAGTGACCCTGGAGGCACAAGTTGCTACAAAGAGAGCCTGTGATATCTCTGACAGCAGCTGTGGAGGGTAGAAAATACTAACTCTTGGGCTGGCTAGAAGGGGTCAACAGGAGGAAAAAGGGAGCATATATAATACTTTCAACAATAAAGATTTAAAAAGAAAGAAAATGCTAGCTGTCAAATATATCCAGAGTCCATTCAGGTAAGAGAAACCAAAAACTTGTGCTATAGTGCCACCTATTGGAAAACAAGAGGCCTCTAAGTACCAACCTGTTGAATTGTTAAAATTAAACAAAGTTGTACCTAAGCAAAAAAGTGTTCACTACTTCAAATGCGCCAGCAGAGGAATCAAACACCATGGATAATCACAGTAACACAGTAGTATAAAAATAAAATGACATCTGGCAGCAACCAAACTCGGTGTCATGGAAGACTGATCTAAATGACACAGAATTCAAAATAGCTGTCATAAAACAAAATTCAACGAGATACAAGAAAACTCAGAAAGGCAATCCAATGAGTTCAAGAATAAAATTACTGAATAAAAGGAGTGCTGTACAAAAGATACTGAAACTCTAAAAAAGAATCAAACAAAAAATCTGGAGCTGAAAAACTCAACAAATAAGATAAAGAATACATTAGAAAGCACTGGAATTAGAGTAGACTGGGTGGAAACGAGAATTAGCAGGCTCAAATATAGGAATCTACAGATGATTCAGGGGGAAGAGCAGGGAGAACTAAGATTTTAAAAAGACATGCAACTCTAGGAGATCTATCCCACTCCATCAGAAAGGGCAAAATAAGAATAATGGGTATCCCAAAAAGGAGAAGTGATGGAGAAGGGGACAGAGAGCCTATTTAAAGAAATAATAGATGAGAAGTTTCCAAACCTGGATGAGTTGGACATACAGGAAGGTCAAAGAACACCTAATTACTCAATACAAAGAGATATTCTCTAAGACACATTATATTAAACTATCAAAAGTAATGCTAAAGAATTGTAAAGGGAGCCAGGGAAAAAGAAGAAAATAACCCAGACAGGAACCCTCATCAGGCTAGGAGTGGAAGGACATATCGAAAATACTGAAAGATTAAAACTGCCAGCCAAGCCCTGGCCAGGAGGCTCAAGTTGGTTGTAGTGTTGTCCCCGTACACCAAAAAGGTGGCAGGTTCCATTCCTGCCTGGAGCAACTGATTGATGTTTCTCTCTCTCATTGGTGTTTCTGTCTCTTTCTCTCAAATCAATTAAAAACAAAACATACTTTAGGGTGAGGATGAAAACAAGAACAAACTGCCAGCCAAGAATAATTTATGGAGTAAAGTTATCCTTAGATTTGAAGGAGAAATGCTTTCCAAGACAAAACAAAAGCTGGTAAGAAATGTTAATATAACGCTAAAAACCAATGTCACCTCAATTAAAGGAAAGGATTCTCACCCTCATCCTCCTGTCCCCATCAAAAAAATCAAACAGGAATCTTGGGGAAACAGACCATGCTAAGTACATGAGGATACAACCAGCAAAACAAGTGGCGTTTCTTTAACACATAAAATGTATGGGGGGGAAAGGAGGAAACACCTCTATGGCAAAGGTAACTTAAGAGATTTAGTATCCAATTTTGCATTCATGGGTTTATTTGGATCTTATTTCAAATAAACAAACTTAAAAGAATGTTTATGAAGAGACTGAGAGAGGAAAATGGCTTTATGAGAAAACAAGGGATTCCAATATTGAGTTTGAAGTGGAAATGAACTGTAGGTGACACATTTGGAAAAATGAACATGTTGATCAAAGAAGTTGTCTTTTTTCATGT